CTATAGTGCAAAAACGAGGGATTATCTCATCATCATCATTCCTTCTTCTTCTTCTTCTTCTTCTTCTTCTTCTTCTTCTTCTTCTTTCTTCTTCTCCTCCTATAGTGCAAAAACGAGGAATTATCTCATCATCATCATTCCTTCTTCTTCTTCTTCTTCGTCTTCTTCTTCTTCTTCTTCTTCTTCTTCTCTGTAATGCATAAACGAGGGATTATATCATCATCATCATCCCTAGGGCTGTCATATGCTTTTGTCCCGGCTTGAAAATGGCCAAAGGTGAAAAAACCCCAAACCAAAAAAAGGCCAAAGCTTGCTCCTTTGACATGTGTGCAGGTGCAGGCCTATAATCCTCTACCCCTTTCTTTCCAGAAATGCCCCACCCCGTACGCAAGAGGTAGGGGGATAATAGGATTATACCTCCCTTTGTGTACTTAGTGAAGGACATGCCTTGGCTGGTGCAAGGCATGAATCAAGGTCTGTTGTCTTTTGCAAGTGGTCGTGGAAACAGTGCGATCGCAAGTACAAGTGGATCGAGGTCCTTTGCCGCGCTTCTGTTCGCCCCTTGCATGCATGGATCGAGATCCTTTTTTTTTTTTTTAATTACTTACAGTTGCTTCCCTTGTTTTGCTTGGAAAGCCGTCGGATCGAAGAGAAAAAAAAAGGAACTGAGGAATTACCTAAAATGGCCAAAACTCCGGAAAAAAAAAGATCAATGGAAAAAAAAACATCTTGTCTACTGATAAAACAAAATATCCGGATTGTACAGATTTGCTCTATATGCAGTTTTGTCACTTTCTCCGTATGAGGATGTGATAATGTCTGGGTACGTGAAAGGTCGCAAAATGGTATTTTGCACTTTTTTGAAAGTTTTTTTCTAGACTGTAATGTGCAGTCGAGAATCCCCAAAAGAAGGCCTTTGATTTTTTTTTTTTTTTTTTTTTTTTTCAATCCATGAAGGTATTAAATTCCTAAATCCTAAACCCTAAACCCTAAAGCAAGCAATAGAAGATTTGTGGGTTGTGTTTTGGTTGTGTCGTGTCCTCGCTTTTTTTTTTTTTTTTTGGTGGTTGGTTGCTGTTGCGAATAACCGGATTTAGTGCTTAGGAGTTGAATGAAGATCATGGATCTCATTATTATTTTGAAAATATCCTTTCTGCACCATCTTTTGCAGAAAAAAGAGAAAAGACAGCGGGAAGGAGAGGAGAAGCCTCAAATTTTCTGACCAAGTACAATGCTCGATTGATGGCTAAGAAAGATACAAAAACGGAAGGGTTAAAGCTTAAAATGTTGAAACCCCCACGGTGAACTATCTCAACATAATGGGGCCGTGATGCTACACGTGGGCACCCAACCTAACCCTGTCGATTTGCCACTGAGAGGCGCGTGAGTGTGCACACGCATCCACACATATTCTTCCATGTGTTGTATGTGTGTGTGTGTGGAGAGAGAGAGAGAGAGAGAGAGAGAGAGAGAGAGAGAGAGAGAGAGAGAGAGAGAGAGAGAGAGGGGCATTTCATGGCATTTGGTTCGTGAAAATTCTAAGATAAGTGAAAAATTTCAAGCAACACGCTTTTTTGGAAGATCGACTCTCCTTCCTGCTTCTGAAATTTTGAATGGATGGTGGGTGATATACCTTCTGTAGTTGATGGGGATGAATAAGGGGTGGCTGAGGTTGTTGCTATAAGATATGGATAGCTCCAGCTGTATCTGGTCGTTTCAAATCTTGCTCATCCCTCGCTGACTCGGAAGTCAGTCAAGAGTCAGGAGGCATACGTTTCGCACAATGTTTTGTTTTGTTTTGTTTTTTTCTTGATTTTTCCCCGCTCGTCTTGCCTTGTTTTCCGCGTCCATCTTTTGATGCCGCTTTGGTGCGTCTGCAGGTATGCCGAGTTTGAATCGATGAAACAGTACAACATCGCGACCGGGATGACGGTGACGAGAAAGAGCATGTGGACTCGGCCGATCCGTCTGATTCGGGTATGGTGCGCCGGATCCCTTCTTGCCTGCCAACAAAAACAGTCGATCGCAACTTTCACAGTTTTATCGTCGCAGACTCGCAGCACTGAACCCCAAATAAAATGTGCGAAAAGAAAAAAAGCGCACGGCATACGGTCAGATTTGAGCCTTCTGAAACTGGAGGTCGCGTCCGGCAAAAAAAAACTTAATCCCCTTCTTGCCTGCCAAACACAGTCGATCTCAACTTTCACAGTTTTATCGTCGCGGACTCGCAGATCTGAAACCCAAATTTAATGTGCGAAAACGCCGAAAAGAAGAAAAGTGCACGACATATGGTCAGATTTGAGCGTTCTGAAACTGGAGGTCGTGTCCAGTAAAAACAAAACTCAATAATTGATTGACCATTCTTATGAACTTTTTTTTTTTTAAGTTCGAAAAAAAGTGGACTGTCCTAAACATTGGCCGCACCTGGTCAAAATTCGCCGTCTTAAAAATTGGTGACTTCTGGTCGCAAAGCGACCTTTTCTTAATTTCGGGACATGACTTGCATCTGGTCAGTTCAGCAGTGACCTTTTTTTTTTTTTTTTTTTTTTTTTTTCTTCCCGACTGCTCACTTTCCTGGGCTACGAACTGGGCTGCTCAGGTGGCCTGGCCGGCCGGGCAAGTGACTCGCAAGGTCCCCGTAAAAAAAAAAAGAAAAAAAAAGAAAAAAAAAGAAAAAAAAAGAAAAAAAAAGAAAAAAAAAACACGGTGATGTGCAGAACAAAATTTTTGCCTCAGTATCACATCGAAATTCCTTACGAAATTGAATGACAAAAAAATTGAAAAAAATACTAGAATAGAATTAAAAAAAACGGACGTTCTTTTTCTTACCGTTTTGGCTGGGCTCGGCACGTGGTCCTGGGTCCTTCCTGGGTCACTGTCGTAGCCTAGCCTAGCTGCTGCTGCTGCTGCTGCTCATATGATTCGCATCTGGTCGATTTTTTCAAAAGCGACTTGCTTTTTTTCAAGTTTTTTTGCAAAAAAAAATTCAGTTTTGACGGCGGCCAACATTTTGTGACCGCTGGGGCTCAAGGGAGCCCACTGATGTTGTTACCCCTTAATCGAAGTTAATCCCCCATCGCTTATTTATTCCGAAATTATTATTACTTTATTATTATTTATTATTAATTATTAATCATCTCTTGCAAATTTTCCATCACTTATGGCTGTTGGTCGCAAAAAAATTGCGTTCATGGCAAAAATTCCGCTTGCAGTTAAAAATTCAGAATGAAAAACTCTGTAAATTTTTTAAGAGCTGGCAGCTGTTTTGCATTCGCCGACGTCATCGTTTACTTCTGCGTCCACCTTTTTTTTTTTTTTTTGAATTGAATTGAACATTTCTTTGATCAAGTTCTCTCAACTAGTCTGTCTGCTCTCTCTTTTTTTTTTTTTTTGGAAATTTTCCAGGCTTCATTTCCGTGCACACAGGTGCCCCCGGCACGCACGGATCCTTCCATGGCCGCACATCCGTGCGGGTCCCCCGTACGGGCCCCGTGCAGTCCCAGCGCGGTGTTCAGAAAAAAAATTGCAAAGTTTTTCTCTAATCTTCTTTTTTCTCCTCCCTTGTCGTCTACTTTGTTCTTCCCCTCACGTGATCTCCTTCGTCCCTCCTGCTCCCTCCTATTCTCCCTCCCGCTCCCGCCTACTTCCCCTCCCGCCATCTCCTTCGTCCCTCTTGCCATCTCCTTCATCCCTCCCACAACCTCCTACTTCCACTCCTGCCATCTCCCTTGTCGCTCCCACCATTCTCCACCTCTCTCCCCCACTTCGTTCCTGCTCTTCCGCCATCCTCCACCTCCCTCCCGCTACTTCGCTCCTGCTGTTCCCCCGTCTTCCACCTCTTTTTCGTCGTCTTCCTCCTACTTCCCTCCACCATATTGAACATCCATCCCGCCTTCTCCCACCTACCTCCCGCCACCTCCCACTTCCCCTCCCACCATTTACCACCTCCATCCTGCTGGCTCCCAACTATTTCCCGCTACCTCCCACTCCCCTCTCGCCATCTCCCACGTCTCGCGCACCATCCTCCGCCTCCCTCCCCCCACTTTGGTCCTTTTCTTCTGCCGTCTTCTTCCTCCCTCCTCCCGTCCTCTGCATCCCTCCCGCCATCACCAATTCTCAGCATGTGTGGAAAAGGCAGATTCAGGGACTTCTCTGCATGCGCAGCAGGCCCCGATCACAACCTTTTTTTTTTTTTTTTTAATAAAAAAATACCTCGCACAGGTGACCCGTGCAGCCCGCGAAAAAATTGAAAGCTGAAAGTTGTTGGTAGGTGACCCGTGAAATTTGAAAGTTTTTTTTTTTTTTTTTTTTTTTCCCGAAAAAGTTCAGAAAAAACAGTCTTGCTGCTAGGGAGGGTGATACAAGCATCCCCCCCTAGCAGGTATCCTGGGTTTCAAATTTCAATTGTTTGGCTGGCAGAGTTTTGCATCAATTTGCATTCAAGCTTTTTCTTTTTGTTTTGGCACCGGGGCGGAGGGTGATGGTGACTTGTTCTTTGTTCTTTGTTCGTGTTTGTGTTTGTGTTGGTGTGCAGGTGAAGAAGGAGCGCATGTTGCTCGAGTTGCGGGCGGCGGCTGATTTGGCTAATTTCAGGGATCGCTCGGTCAGTACAACTTTTCCTTTTTTTTTTTTGTGTG